CCTCCTCCCTCCCTCCTCCCTCCTCCTTCCTTCTATCATTGTCTTTGGCTTGGCCCTCCCATCTTTGCAAACAAACTACCTTCATAAGTTCATCACATTCTAGTCATGTGCAAGTAATTGTATATGTTGAAAGCTTGCCCTTGATGTATGTCTATTGACATTTTTGCCCCTCCCTCGTTCTCTTTCTCTCCTCTCGTTTTTACTGAAAAACTGTTATGAAACTTACAGTTTTCTGAACCTTTCCCCATTGCAACATGCATTAATTCCATTATGAATTATTCATTATTCTTTTTCAAGATAAGACAACTACAAGCAAAATAAAATACAAAACCTTTGTTAATGACGGATCTGAAACTTAAAATTAATTGTTTATGGGACTTAATTAGTATCGATTATGTCAAGAACCATTGGTTGGTTATCTCTTTCCTCGTATCCCACCCATGTACGCTCTCCCCCCTTGTAAAGAAACGAGTTTCAAATCGGAAAAACCCTTGATCTTTTTAATCAGAAAAGACTAATTAGCCCTACTTGGTTTATAAAAACTTCCCTAATGCATGTTAATTCATTGACTTAATTTGTCCCTCCTTTAATTTTGGCACACAAATTGGTACATACATTTGGATTTATGTGAGACCAACTTGTTTTCTTTCCACCCGTAAGACTATAAAATATCACTGAAACTTCAGAGCAATCCATTATATTGTATGAAAAACAATAAACCTTTGTAGCAAAAACACTATGAAAGTTGACCTTCACAAACATTCACAGTGTTTTTACTGTGAACGTTCAGTGTTATTTAAGTGATCTCATGAAAACAATCTGATCTCACATGATCTTAACTCCACACACACACATATATATATATAGAGAGAGAGAGAGAGAAAGAGTTGGGTTCAAACGAGAACGATGCATATTAAAGAGAATAAGAAAATGATCGAATAACATGTGATTTTACATTAACATCACCTACAAAATCACATGTGATTTTGCACATAGTTTGACCATTTTCGTATTCTCTTAAATAGTTAGCATTTTCGTTTGATACTCCCCCTCTCTCTCTATGTGTGTGTGTGTGTATATATATATATATATATATACAAAAGAGAAAGGGAGAGATCTAATGGAGTACTTACGCTTTGCTAGCAGCATAGATGGCATAAAGAGGATGAGAAGGTACAACAATGGCAGCACCAGAACCAATATTAACAATGGCACCTCTCCTTCTCTCAACCATTCCACCAATCACAGCTTTTGTTACAAAACTCGTTCCTTCCACATTCACCTTCATCACTTTCATCCATACTTCTTCTTCAACCTCATGAAAATACATAGCCATTGGATATGTCACCCCTACATTATTCACCAAAACTCCCACATCCAACCCTTCACCATCAATCACCTCCTTCATCTCCTTCACTCCGGCCACCACATTCTCACCGGAGAAATCAACCGCAAAGATCTTTATCTTGGTGGTCGGGTGTACCGACATAATCTCGTCAGAAACGACCCTAAGTTTCGCTAGGTTTCGACTAACCAAGATTAGATGAAGACCCTTTTGAGCTAGTTGGAAAGCAAAGGCTTTTCCGATGCCGGCGGTGGCGCCGGTGATGACGGCCCAGGAGCCGTAGTTGGTGAGGGTTTTGGGTGGTCGGAAGAAAGTGATGAAAACCCATCTGGAGAGAATGAAAATGAGTTTAGAAAGAGAGAGAAAGCCAAGAAAACAGAAGAAGAAGATGAGCCATGAAGGTTGCATGGTGATTATTAGAGGAAATTATAAGGTTTATATGATGCTTTCAACACCACCAAGAACTACCCTCTTATATACATATTTCTTTTCTTTTATTTAAATCTATAATTATTACACTGGTTGGTTTAAATAATAAGAATAAATTTCATATGAAGGTAAAAAAAATGTCTGATTGGCTTGAGTTTGGCTTCAAAGGTTTAAATCCAAGGAGAATAAAAATCTCTTTGTGGCCAACGAAGATTCAAATGCAATGACTCTGGACTACCCGCAAAGGATGTGGTTGTCTTGAGATTAGTCGTCTCGCATAACAGGTTGGATATCCATGTTAATAAAAAAAAAAGTTGAGATAAGATTTATATATGAATCATTGAAAAAAATCGAAAAATAAAAGTGAAGCGAACCCGAGAGATAAAGCTAACGTTTTCAGTATTCAACGGATATCGTCTATCAACTTTAAAAACTTGGATTTGATCCCTCACTTTTGTCAATTCCCAACGGTTTTGGTCCATATGTCTAACGATCGTTAACTTTCTCCATTAAATCCAACTAAATGAAAGATATTTTAGTCATTTTCTTTATATTACAATAAAAAAAACATATTATGTTTTTATTTTAAAATTTAAAAAAAAAAAACAAAAACCAAATTAAAAATTAAAAATATAAGATGTTTTTTTAACTTTAATATAAAATTAAAAAATAGTGAAAATGACTAAAATACTTCTCATTTAATTGAACTTAACAAAGAAAAAGTTAACGACCGTTAAACAGAATGACCAAAGCCATTGAAAATTGAGAAACATAAGAGACCAAAGATGGTTTTGTGAATTTCAGGGACAATATTCGTTGAAAACTACAAACGTCAAAGACCAGTAATGAACTTTACTCTTTAAAAAAGTTACATGTATTAATATGAATTTTGGAAACTTTAATAATTTTTAATTAAAAAATAAATATATTTTAAAATATAAAAGGTGAGAAAATAATATAGAAGCATAATAATTTGCATAT